GTTGCTCCCAGTCATGGGACCAGAGAGTGGCACAGCCTGGATTCAAACCCAGGAACAGGATAGGTTCCTCCCATTACATCAAGGATCACTAAACTGGAAAATCATGCTCAAACAAAACTTTGCCTTATTCTTTCCAGTCAGTAAGCTTAGATCTTCTTTGAGAGGAGAGAGGTATATCTACCAAGCGCACTTTAGTTTTAAATAGATTCCACTGATGACAGTGTGTCAGAATGTACCCAGAATGGCAGATGACAGGGCTGAACTTAACAGCTGAGATTTCCATGTTCTTGACTCAGTGCTGTTGGGCGTTGTTCATGCGCTGTATGGTTGCATGTGGTTCTTTGTAATTTAGAGTCATCAGTATTTTCATCCAAACAGACCCACTTTATCTCCAACCACTCAAGTGAGCACAGGGTGTCTGCTCCTGCTTCTTTGAAAGGCCACAAGTTAGAACCCATGTATATTCTGGCCTCACATTGTAGAATTAGTTTCTTTTTTACCTGTCACCATCTCAATAAGAAAATAAACTTAGTAATGTAGGTCAAATTGTCAAAGAACCCACCTTTTGACTAGACAAGTAGGACGAGAAGGTATTTTTTGTTTCCAACTGCATAAGGAAATAAGTTTTTTTATTCAATTTGTATATATATAGCCCTAAGTATATGAGATATATATACAGATATATGTAAATATATATGCATTTTCTATACAATTGTATACATAGCCCTATATAATTTGGGGCTATGTTATGGTTCAAATGCTGCTTCTCAGAGGCATTCTTTTAACTCCACAGAACTGGAAGAGTTCTGAGGAGTTCTTTAATCAGGATCGTACCTGGGATGAGGGCCCACTTGCCGAAAAGGCAGCTTATGTTCTGTACTCAATATCTGATTTCAGGGAAGGTGACTACATTGCAAAATTTAAATTTGTTTGAGGTTAATTAAGCTGGAGAAAATTCTTGAAGCTTTGATTACAAAGGAATGAAATGCACCCTATGTGTAGTAATTAGAAATAGCAATATAAAAGGTAAAGCTCTTTCAAACCAAGTAAATTGGTGTTTGTATAAATGTTTCCAACTACTGTCTATTCATTCACTCAGGAGTAAGTATTATGTTTGGTTTTTTTTGTTTTTTGCGGTACGCGGGCTTCTCACTGTTGTGGCCTCTCCCGTTGCGGAGCACAGGCTCCGGACGCACAGGCTCAGCGGCCATGGCTCACGGGCCCAGCCGCTCCGTGGCATGTGGGATCTTCCTGGACCGGGGCATGAACCCGTGTCCCCTGCATCGGCAGGCAGACTCTCAACCACTGCGCCACCAGGGAAGTCCGGAGTAAGTATTATGAAGAAAAGTAAAGCCAAGTAAGAAGAGAGGATGACTGACGGTGATGCCTTCTAGACTGGGTGGCTAGGGAAGACCCCCCCTGAGGAGGGGAAATTTGAGCAGACACCTGAATGTCATAAAGGGCAGGCTATGTGGAGATCCAAGTGAAGACAGTTCCAAGCAGAAGGATTAGCCAGAGTGAGGGTCTTGAAGCAGAAACAAGCAGTGTAGATTCAGGGAAGACAGAGAAAGCCAGCGTGGCCAAGGAAGTATAAGAGACAGAGAGAACCTTAGGTGAGGGGAGAGGGGCAGGTGCGGACAGAATTGGGGGTGGTGAGAGGCAGATCATGCGGGGCTCTGAATGTCACGGTAAAGAGTTTGGATTTTATTTTAAATGTGGTGGGAAGTGGCCCAATCTGATTTATGTTTTCCAAGAGTCAATTTGGCTGGGGTATGAAACACTGACCACAGGAGTGCAAGTGCTGAGTGCAAGGAGACCAGTTTGGAAGCTACAGGAATAGTCCAGGAGATGCTTACAGACACTGAGGCGGCAGCAGGTGGGATGGTGATACAAGGCACAATTTGAGACGTGGTGAAGGTAGGGCTGAATGGACTTGCTGATGGATTGGTGATGATACTCGGGGTTGAGGATTTGGAGATATTGTGGTGCCACTAGTTGAGCTTGGGAGGAAATAGGGGAGTAACAAGCTTGAGGAAGAAAGTCAAGGGTTTAATTTTGGACATGTAAAGTCTGAGATACCTATTAGATAACCAGGAGAAGATACTCAGTAGCCAGCTGGATAGATGAACAAATGTATACTCAGGGGGAATCTTAGGGCTGAGGGTAAAAATTAGGAGATGGCAGCATAGAGATGGAATATAAAGCCACAGTCTCTGGTGAGATCTTCCAGGGAACACCCAGGAAGAATGTAGACAGAAGAGGGAGGAGGGGTGAGCCCTGAGTTCCAGGGCCTTCCAGCCTAGAGCTGGGAAGAGGAAGAAGAGACAGCAAAAGAGACAGAGTACGTTGCTGGTGTGTGGGGAAGAAACCCAGAAGAATATCTTTCGGAAGCCATAAAAAGAGCATGTTTTAATAAAGAGGGAAGGTGTGATTGGGAGCTGCTGAAAGGCTGAGTAAGAATACTAATTTACGTAAAAAGAAAACTCTTAGAGAAATATTAAACTAAAATATAGGGGCTCTGTAGTTATTTATGTGGAAAAATAGGCTTAGACAAGATTATGATTCCACAAACATTGAACAGTCTTATCATAAAATCCAATGTTTAATCTAAAAATAATGTGACAATTTTTTCATTTCATGTCTGTAAGTCAAATCATTATGCTGTATACCTTAAACTTACATAGTGCTATATAGCAATTATATCTCAATAAGACTAGAAGAAAAAAAGAAAAATAGTGTGACACTAGAAAACAGTTCTTATGTTGACTAGAGGCTTATCATACAAATAAAGCAATTAACCCAAATGCCAACCAACAGTCTCCTTGAAAGGCTACCTATAGGTGGGAAAGATTTCTTCCTACTCTGATGAATTTTAGCTAATGCTGTGTGAGTTGTATTGAGGCAAGTAGGATCCCAAACTTTCATAACTGCGCTAAGTTCTCCTTCTGTCAAAATGCCTCATCACTGATAAGTCTGTATCATTATTACAACCAAAATTCTATATCCAAGTAAATGCCTCTATGTTCCATATTGAATGTTAGCATGATCCGCATTTCTTGGCCTCTCTGCAGACATTTTGTGAACTAGTGACTTTTGTGCAGAGCATTCCCCCCTTGAATGATCTGGAACACTCAAAACGAAGGCTGGCTTTCCCTTACCACACAACATGCCCTAAATGAACTATGTCCACGTAGCTGGTATACATTCAAACAACGTGTTTAGGAAATGTAAGTCAACAGTAGTGTAAATAAAACATCGTTAAAATTTAAAACAGCAGCAGGCAACACAATAATCCAAAATCCAGTCCAAGTCAAACTATTAAGTTATCCATTGCTCAGATGCCCCTCCGGCCATGTGAATAATCAATAGGTCTACCATATGCGTGACTTGATTATTTAATCAGCCTCTAAAATGGGGAGGGCTAAGCACAGAGTAGACATTCAAACAACAGTTGAGTTGTTTTAGAATGAAGATGTGCCTTTGGAATTTTCAAGTCAGCTCTACTATTTGGGATTCAAATTCTAATTGTTTCTCATAAAAGGCTTGATCAGTACCAAAGTGGGGAGACAGTCTCAATGCATAATGATTGAGCTTACCAGTTTTTTAAAAATCCCTTATCAACCTAAACTTATGCAATTTAATTTTCTTGTCATTGCTTTCCCTATAATATCAAAAATGATGCTTTCTTTACTATTTCAAACTCATCATAAAATTCCTAAAAATCTGAAATTCAATTTGTCACATTACTGCTGATTTGAATAATGGCTGAATAAAAGACAGGAAACGCTGAAGCAGCATTGATTTCTAAAACATTTTGCACTTTCCTCCTCCATCCCTGTAAAGTAAAGCTCGGATGCTATGCACAATTACACAAGAAAATCAAGAAAGCCATTACATTTAGCATTTTGTCATCATCATTGTTACCATGGCAAAAAGTGGGCTTAGTTTAGCACATCTGCTACGGGAGAGGTCCACTGGCCTTTTGTAAAGCTGAGTAACAATATAATGCCAAATTCTGTAGGCTGTCACTGTTTTTTTCCAGGGTAAGACTACTGTCCACACATGCTACTGTCTCTCTCCTTAATGATCGGACCAATGTCACCTTATTATTGTATTCTTACAGTTGGCCAGTGACCAAGGAACACAGTTAATCTAGAAAGGTTACCCCTTGACCCACCTTCTGATCTAAGGGGTCAAAAATATGTGGTGTGAAAGCTTGGGACTCCAATAATAGCAAAGGCCAAAGTTTCAACAGTTGTACTGTAAATTACAATAGAGTTGTGCTAAAAGTAGCACAGATTTAGACGTGAGAAAGACAATGCGTGATAACTAGTTGTACCCATAGTTACATTTTCTCTGAGTATCAGTTTAGTTGTCTGTAAAATGGAAATAAACGTAACTTTCTTGTGAGTATTAACTGAGATAATCTGCAAGCCCAGACACATGGTGGGTACTCAGTAATATGGCATCCTCCCCCCTCCTCCAACACCATCCTTTTCTTAACCACTGAGATCTCCATGCCTTTGGGAATGTTGGTTGAAGTTGGTAGGTAAACTATTTTCTACCACTGGAAGGTAATTTGTTTTGATCTTTCATATCGTTTGGATACTTTCCTCAGAGAGCTGAGGATAAAATATTTTTTTAAGATCTGACAGAAAGCATAACTTCCACATCAAGAGGATAAAAGTCAGTGTCAATATCATAATATATATCACATCCTATTTTTCATATTTTAAGTGACACCAATATCATCACTGTGAAATGGAAAATGGCGTCTACACTAATTTTGACATTATGCAGAGATTTTTCGTTTTAAAAAATGATGCTACATTATGAAAGCAAAGAAGCTGAAATTACCTGAAATGAATACATTAATCAAGTCTCGGTATTTACCAGAAACAAAGGCTACTAGCATTTTTACCAGCTAAACAAAATATTTTTTTCTAATGAGATTTCTGCTGAGTATCGTTTATCTTAAGAGAAAAATAATGGGGCCTTACCTGTTCCAGTAGCTCCAGAACTGGTCATGCAGGTAGGCGTGGTGGCTACATTCATCACCAAATGAGGCTTTGCTTTCAATCCAGTGAATTATGTGCCCTTCTACAGCTAAGGGACAAAGCATTACTAATATAGAGCAAAGGGAAGGGAAAATTGAAAATTTTGAACTCTGTCTGGGTCTCTCTATGCTTCACATTCATGAACAGAGGCTTAGCCCTCACCATCATCTATGGATGTAATTATAAAACAACACATCGTACAAGTTCGTAACAAGGAACGTTTATGCTACAATCACATCCCTTTTATTTTCGTCATTTACAAAAGTCTCTCTCCTATTCTGAGACTGCCTGTATAAGTTGACAAGGAATGTGAAAGCAAACCAAGTGAGCCTGGCTTTTCAATAGAACCCTATGTTAAAAATTCGGTACTTAGAGAAATGACTTGAAAATGGTAACCAAAATGTCTTTGGAACACATGTTTATTTCTCAAATATACACAAAAGTTTTTAAGGCATAGGTTTCTTCTAAACCTATAATTTTCTGCTATTTTAAAATAATCTTTTGCAATTATTTCACACATTTAGATACAAAATTATCAAGCTAATCTAGATTCTCTGGTAACATTTGCTAATAACATTAACACAATTTTTCAAAGCTATGGGAAAAACACATCCCTTTTCTCTATAAACAAATGCATAGCAGAGTTTAAGGACTTACCAACGGGTACTTGTAAAATAAAGTCTGGTGTTTTGTCATAACCCTTTGCTCGGAGCTGATCTTCATCTACAGGATGAACAAATACTATTACTTATCACAGTATTCCATTAACAAGACAGCAATATAATTGCTTTTCTTCCTTAAAAATGTGTAAAAATTACTAATGCAGTCATACATGTCATTCTTATATATGCAATGCTGTGTAGGAATAAATGAACTTTCATAACAAACTGGAAGCATAGATATAAAAATGCCTCTTTGTCCCTTCTGCATTTTTATGTCTTTATTATAAACATCATTAATTCAAGTTGTCATACACTACCTTTCTTATAATTGAAGATACTCAAAATAATGAAGTATACTTACTGATTAAAAGAAAAGGCTTCTACCACCATGAATATCACTAATGTTATCAAGCCAATATTGACATTGGCCTTTATAAAACAAATGCTTTCATTAAAGCAATTAAGAAAGTTTGGTTTCAATTAGTGAAACTATTCCTACATACAAGAACATAAGAAAGAGACAAGGACAGTGAGATCCCCACAGAGAATTAATTACCCTGCTTAATACCTTTGGTCGGCTATTGTTTCTGGCATCTACCAAAGTTTTACAACTAACAATATGTAATTCTGAAAAGCCAACAGGCTTTGAGATTTTTTTCTAAATCTGTTCGATTTCTTGATCCTCTGTAAATATCAATGAGCCATTCAGGAGGAAAGGAGGCAGGAAAACAGAGTGCTTGACAAAGTTGGAAAAAACTACCTAGGTGCTTGGTTAAAAAAAAAAAAGTCCTCCAATATTTTCTAAACGCTGTCCTTGACTTCTAAAGGCATTACAATGTGATTCTGAAATGAGCAGTTCTCTGTTAGATTTTGGAGTGACCTGGTCATTCAATTCCAGACATGGCTTTCTGTCTTCACCCAACCTCAACTAATGGCCCAACCAAGTAACAAGGAAGGCTGTGTGGTCTTTTAACACCTACTGGGCTGTTGACATTGTCATGCATCCCATTCGCCTTCCTGCATCACCTTTGATTAAAATTAATGGCCCATTCTCAGTTGTTGGGTAGCTTATTTCCAATCCATTTGTCAGGCCAAGACAGTGGTTTCATGGCCAATGTTCAGAAACTCTGTTTTAGAACACTCCTGTGTACATCCTGAAAGGTCAGCATTTTAAATGTAAATAACCTTTAAATGACAAGACACATATTTAAACTAGATATTTAAATTAAATTTGGTTACAGTTGTTATCCTTTATCCAAATTTTGAAGGACTGATGCTAGAATTTGAAACAATCTCCCCTGCTTGAAATATAAAAAATTCTAAGTTAACTGTTGAAATAAGGAAATAAAATTAACCTTACTTTAAAAACAAGAGAATTTGGGAAACTGAACTGTGGATGAACAAGACTGAAAAAATTTCTATCCTCTAAATGCATTCTGGCTACAAGAATGTTTAATGGAAAAGACATTTATTAAATCAACCCAACTGCCTTGAGCTGATGTTTCAGGTAGCTGATGAACAGTTTTAGAAGCTGGGTTGACATTAAAAAAGAGAGATTAATATTTTATTAAAACTATCCTAGCTTGATCAACCTTTGCAGATGTTCAAATCTGTTTCAGAAAGAAAAATGATTATGTTTCCGACAGCAGCGCAAAACAAAATTTCAAAGGTCACCAAGCAATCCAAACGCACACACTAAAATCCCTTAAAAGGCAGATGCTACACTCTTGTTCACTGCACCAAAATTACTAACACAATACCTACAATTTAAATTTCCTGAAGATAAACATCAGGTGAGGCTAGGAAATCTTTCCATCTTTCTGTGGAGAACCTCAAAGTACAAGAGTATTCATATGCTTTCTCCATGCCACCCCCCCACCTCCCTCCCTCTCAATATGAAGTTGATTCAATAGTAACTGTACTCAAAAGACAGCTTCTAGGAGTCTGTGTCACCACCAGATATTACACTTTTTTTTTTTTTTTAAAAGAGGTCATTCCACATATCGGAAGTACTATGTTATTATGTATTGGGTATCTTCTCTGTTTATTTTCTAAACCCTCACTGCCTTACCTGCCTTGTTTCAATCTTCACACTATTTCTTTCAACCTAGATTTCCTAAAAAAGGAGGAGGGTACAACTTGGCAAAGTTCAGAGAAGATGAGAGTGCAAGTATAGGAAGTAGCATTTATGAACAGGTGGCCTTGCTCACCTGGTCTAGGTCCCAGGAGATTTTTAAGGTCAGCCCCATCCATCTGACCTGATTTCCTGGCCTTTGCATTATGCTCCTTTCCTGGCTCCCAGACCTTCAAAGATTTCTTACCATTAGATCATTATCCAAACCATTGGGTATGGATTTAAAATTTGGTTGACCATTGGGTGGGTCAGGGTTCCAACTCTAGGATCTCAAGGTTATGGCTCGGTCATCATCCCACATGACTTCCCTTCTGCCTCCTTCTTTGTTCATTCCCTTGTCTCATTGTGTATGTGCCTGTGTCCCAAATCCCGGGCCTATTCACTGCCCCATTCTCACCACCAGCATATGCTTGGCACATATTTAAGACTCAAAAAAGGGTAACTGAATAAAATATAAATGCATTTTTAAGAATACCCATGTCTTTTGCAAAGCCCACCTGAACTGACTTAATAATTTTCTTTCCTGATTTAAGAGACAACAAAAGTGACCCAAAGTTCAAGGTTGTATTTGATGACTTTCACTGCTGTCTTTCACCCCGCCCCAGCTGTCTGCTCTGAGGTACATCTTGATCATCAAGGAAGGGACTACACATGGGAAGTTTTCCTACCTTCTTCTTTGGTCTGTAGTATTTTAAATAACATTGGATTTATCCATTCCTTAAAGTTTGGGCAGAATTCCCCATAATAAGCAGTCTAGGCCTGCTGCTACTATAGTGGGTAGTTCTTTGGTTACTTTTCCCTTTTTTTTTTTTTTTATGGCTACTGATCTGTTTAGATTTTCATCTCTTATACAGTCAGTTTTGCAATTTATATTTTCCTTGGGAATTATAAGTTTCATCCATGTTTTTAGAGCTTTTTGTACATATTGGAACCAAGTGGTTACTTATGATTTTTTGAACTTCCCAAGTGGAAAACTGGATGTTTAAGTAACCTGCTGTTTTCTTCAAGAAAAAATGATCAGGATTAAGAAAAAAGAAAGAATAACATTAGTTAGAAAGGGAAAAAAAAGAGTAACAGCAATGTTTTAGACTAGTACTTTTAGTATAACTTCCCAGAATTGCTGGGGATCAATATGAAATCAATCTCCAAATTCTGTATACCTAACTTATTCAGTGAATGTAGCAAATATGAAGTAGGGCTCTTCTGATTTAAGGTATATTAAAAACACCTAATATATTTCATAAGTACAAGCTTGTTAATGTCATTGTTCAAGTGTTCATTATCAAAGTTAATATAAGAATATTCTCACTTAAAAGCAGACTTGTTAGCCTCTAGATCCACAAAACGTAGGGTATTTAGATAGTGTGCCTTAAGAAACAGTATTTCTGAGCTTGTAAAGTCTTCCAACCTTCCAGTTTATACATGATAAAAGAGGCCAAGAGAAGTTAAGTGACTGCCAACACCTGGGCCTCTCAAATAGCCAGATATAGACAAGAGCCCACCACAACCAAGTACTGGTTTGTCCCAACAGACCATATACCACTCTTAATTATGGCAAATATTTAAATTTGATCATGTGTAATACTTATGAAGTGGGGAAAATTTTCTCATTTTCCTCATGAAAGATTTGGAAACGCAAGAGAGGGGATGGCTATCTGTTGGATAGTATTTGGTTGACACCGGACCGAAGAGGACCTGAACAAAATAATCACTTGATCTCTAGCCTTTTAATGATCCTTTCTTCAATGGAACTAAAAAACCAATGAAACTGCATCCACAGATAAAACTGATGTTACATTTTAAAAGACAATCCAGATCTTCATTTGTTTTTAAGTTGTCAGGCTTGCCTTTAGAGGACATTTTTAAAAAGGAATCACATATGTAAAGAACACTGTGAAAGTTTAATTTCTGGGGCCTTTTAATTACCCTCTCCTCTAAATGCCCAAAATATCCAAAGCAATTAAGTACTGATTACACAATTTCTTTTTTTAAAATAAAGGCGTGATTTTGAGTCAGAGAACAAAACACATCTGAAACTAGTTAACATATACTTAAGAATCATAGCACGGCATGAGGACTGCCAAGAAGTTTGAGGTTTTCTTTTTTTTTCTTAAAAGACTTTAAATTTAAGAAATACAGTTATTTCCCAGAGAAATTATGCAAAATTCCAGTTCATAACATCTGAAAATGAAAAGAAAAATAATATTCTGACGTGGTCTTTTATCTATGAATTTGTCAAAACGTTTCTAAAATGCTAGGTTAAAATACCTCATACAAAAAGAAACTTTTTAACACCTGTTACATTTTTACTAAATTGGGGAAGGGCAAAAAATACACATCAATACAAGTGAAAACTACAGTATATCTTTTCTACTCCAGTATCTTGTTTTTCTGGTTTTTTTCCCCCCAAAACACTGTCTCATTCAATAATTGGTGCTATGACCTTTGCGTCCCATATTTTTATATTCTCTAAGAGTAAGTTTCACAGCCTTTCCAATTTAAGAAGTTAGCAGGGTTTTGGTAATAGATGTTACTATGCTATGCAAACCATCGCAAAGGTACACCGAACAGATATGCATTTAATGGGGAGAGCGATAACACAGATGAATGAAATCTTCAGAGAACCTAAAAATTTCATTACAGCCATTAGTTTTAACCTCTTCCCCCAAAGCCTCTTATCAAAGCCACTAATAAGGAATACAAGTGACTGCTCTGACCTTGTCCTTTGCTTATGTCTTTAGGGGACAATACTTGTGAAAATTGAAGTGCCCTAAAGATAGGAAACAAATGGGAGGTCACAAGCCAGGACAGTGCAAAGTGAGGTAGGGTAGGCTGGCCCCTGCTGACTGGTGGCTGTGGAGACAGAGGACATGAACATGGACAACAAAAGCAAAACTCTTCCATATTTTATACTGCATCGCTCTAAA